TATTGATTGACCTCTGACCCTAAATCGCGTAGACAACGACGACGACGACGAAAATACACCGATAGAAGTGGTCGGGGAAGGGGGAAGGGGAAGAGGGAGGGGACGCAATTCCAGTCGAATAAAAAAAAAAAAAAACAAAAATTATTATTATTATTTTTTTTTAATTTTCCATTAATTTGGTTTTTAATACTAATAATCGATTAACCATCAAATTATTCGAGGTCGGCCAAGGTACGTACCTGGAGAACTTAATTAGTTTTCTGTAGAAACGTAACGTCTCCATAAAGTTTATAAATATTATATTATCTGACAGGGACTATAAACACGCATACACAATCACGGTTTTTAAAATTTTAATTCGGGTAAACCAATCAATCAATCATCGATCGATGGATCGATCCATCGATCGATCGAACGATTCGTGTTCGATTATTTTTTTTTTAAACGAAAAATTATGGCGGCGGCGTCGAGGCGGAGTGAATTTTTTTTTTTTTTTTTCCCGATTCATTCATAATAATTTTTTTTTTTTCGGGGTGAATAAATCGTGGCACGAAGAAAGACGTGGTCAAAAATCACCGTCCCCAGTTCACCACCGCTACCACTACCATTTTAAACCATTTTCCCGCCCTTTTTAAATTAAATTTCGATTTCGTGGGGAAAGGAGGGGAGGGGAGGCCGCCGATGATTCGTTTATTACTTTTTTTTTTATTTCGTTTTGCCATTTAATTACTTGAAAGGTAAAAAAAAAAAAAAAAAAAACTACTCAAAAACGATTTCAAAAATACTCTCTAGTTCAATTTATAACGTTTATTAATAATAATAATAATAATAATAATAATGATGATGATGATGAGGGATTTTAAGTACAAAATCGGTAACTATTTTTTTTTTTTTTTTTTTTTTTTATGTAAAGGTATTTTTCGGAACCGGAAACGATTTATTATTATTATTATTATTATTATTATTATTATTATTATTATTATTATTATTATTATTATTATTATTATTATTATTATTATTTTACCTCGTAAGATTTTTAAGTTTTTTTTTTTTTTTTTTTTTTACGGTTAATAATATCGAATCGTCGGATTTCGATTCTCGCGACTCTCCTATCGTAATTATTATTATTATTATCATCATCATCATTTTTAAAAGAGAGAAAAAAAAAAGTCAAAATGGATTTTTACTAACAAATTGAGTGCGAGAGAGAAAGAAAGAGAGAGAGAGAGTACTTTTCTCATTACCCGAATGCTGCCACGTTTAATTTTAATAACGTTTTTTGTAAATACGTGGTAATGACGTCATTCGTAATACGTTCATTCCATTAAAGAATGATACAAACAAACAAACGAACGAACGAACGAACGAACAATCGACGAGACAAACAACCGAATTTAAAAAGAATTACTCGCGCGGGAAAAATTTTCCTTTTAAATATTCCGGGAAAGGATCATCATCGACCTTGAAAGGACATTGAATGACCTTAGAAAAGAAAAAAAGGTCACGTGCGTGCGTACGTGTGCGTGACCCTGACCACTTTTCTCCCTTGGTGGTGATTTATTAATTCATCCCTTAACGTCGACACGATTTTTCAATTTTATAAAAATTGTCGCACCGTTTCACCCTTCCAAATAATAATTTTTTTTTTTTTTTTGGAAAAATGACCTTTCGTCGGCCATATTGATTTTTTTTAAAATGAGAATTTAATCTCGCGTGATTTAAACGTGTTATAACATATTCGTGCGGGAAGTGGTTGTGGTAGTGGTACCAACCTGATTAACGTTTATTTCTTTTTCGGCGACAGCTGTCGCCGAACGGAAAAGTTTTTTTAAAAAAAAATTCCAGTGCATGCTAAAAAAAAAAAAAAAAAAAAATTTTTTTTTATTTATCTCCAGACTTCATCGAGTGAACATTCAATTTGTCATGTCAAATTATTTAACATTACGAAATTTCAATCGAATGGAAGTTCCCCCCTCCTTCCTCCTCCCCCACCTGCTACCATCACCACCACCACCGCCACTACTCTTTTAAATTATTATTATTATCATTTCGTGTTTTTGTCCATCGAGATTTTTTATGTATCGTTTGTTCGATGTATCGATATATCGATCGATCGATCGATATATCGATACATCGATAAACGTCACGTGTATTAAGTTAGTAAATAAATAAATCTATACATCGACCCGATACGGGAGCAAAAATTTAACCTAACAAAAATAATAATGATGATGATGATGATGATGATAAAATTTAATTCATTTCCAAACGCGAAACGATTCGGTCATTTGTCATGTTTTTCATCATCATTATTATTATTATTATTTAAGTGGGAGGAGGAGGAGGAGGAAAATAAAGTTCTTTTTTTTCCGAGTGTTCTTTAAAGAATAATTGGAGAAAAGAAGAAAAAATCGTAAGAATGTAAAGTGGATAACTCAGGTACTCACTCACTCAGGATTGAAAGGTACTTCGACCTCTCGTCCGTCCACTTAAACAAACAGTAAATTCACTACTAAAAACCCGATAATGATGATGATGATAATAAATAACCGATAATGACCCTTCCTTCCATTTCCGGTTGTTTTATTTATTATTATTATTATTATTATTTAATTTTCGAGCGGATATTATGTCAAATGCGAAACACATTTCATCTAACTATCATCATCATCATCATCATCATTATTATTTATAAATAAAATACTCCTCCGCCATTTTGTTTTTGATTGACCGGAAAAACAAAAAAAAAGTAAGCGAAAGAGGTCGAAAAAGGTTTTACATCCCGATTCCGATTATGAAAATCCTCGTGATTTATTTGTTTGCTTACGTCATCGTCTACGTCACCGTCAACGTCACCTTCGTTATTCTCACCACCATCCTTTGTACGGAAGGGGAGCGGCGAGGGGGGGATGAAAAGTGGTCAGTTTTTTTTGTTTTTTTAACGTGTCGTGTGTGTCGACTTCTACCTTATTTTACATTTCGTATCAGTCTCTCTCTCTCTCTCTCGTTGTCTTATCACATCATTTGAAAAAGTAAAAGAGAGTGAGAGAGAGAGAGAGATAGAAAACATTTCACAATTTCAAAAAAAAGGAAGGAAAAATGATTAATAATCTATTCTAGTTTTTGACAGAAGGACTAATGGACGTATATCAAATTTGTGACGCGACTCCAGCGTGTGTCCATGTTGTTCCAGTGGCGTTTTTTTCATTTCGTTTTAAGTTGTCCAACCGGTATCACGTATCACTACGTTTCCCTCACGTCATCTTACATTTTTTTTCTCCTTCCTTGACTCCCGTTTGATTGATCACACGTGAAAATGCGTTTCTACAAACGCGAAGGGCTCCCGATTATGCTGGGATGCTGGGTTACGGATTTTATTTTTAAAAAAAAATTCTCTTTTCATCAAAAGGAATTTTCTCTCTCTCTCTCTCTCTCTCTCTCTCTCTTTTTTTGCAAAATAATAATGATAATAACAAGAAAAACAGGGAGTTTCGAGTTGTTGTTGTTGTTGTTGTAATTAAAAAAAAAAAAAAAAGGGTTTTTAATTACAAAGGAAATTTAAATACTTTAAACGGTAAATCTTTTTAATAATATCGAAAAAAGTTTAATTTTCTTTTCTAAAAAAAAAAAATTCCAGAATTCAAATAATAATGATGATGATGATGATGATGATAATGATAATGATAATCCAGTAGTAGTTGTTGTCGAGATTCAAGGTCGAAATTTTGGAACGTATCGAATAACATTTAAAACCTGCGTTTCATGCGTACATTGAAAAAAACTAAATTGAATCGGTAGTAGTAGTAGTAGTTTAAAAAATACTTTAATGTTCTCTCTCACTCTCTCACTCTCCCTCTCTCTCGCTCTTTCTCTCTATCCATCTGTTTGTCTCTTTCTTTCTTTCTCTCTCTTTTTCCATTCTCTTTCGACTACTCTGGATATATCATCATTTTTTATTTATTTTTTTTCTTACTCTCAAGTGTGATTTCTCTCTCTCTCTCTCTCTCTCTTTCTCTCTCTTTCTCTTTATCTGTCTCTCTCTCTCACACACACACACTCTCTCTCTCTCTCAAGGTGAGAAAGCTGAATTTTTTTTCTGATTTTGCTCGGTCATACTCGTTATTGAAAAAGAAAAAAAAAAAAACATTGCGTCTCACGGAAATTTAATCGGTCATACCTACCTGTTACCGTCACGAGGAACACGGTTGGGAAAAAGAGGAGGGGAGGAGAGAAGGGGGAAAGGAGGGAAGAGAAGGGAAAAGTGGAAAATAAACCCTTTTTTTTTTAAATCCGCATAACGACGATTCCCACGTCCAGAATTTTCCATTACTTTGCTCTTAACTCACCCTCATCCTCATCCTCACTCTCACCCTCACACTTCCTTCCCTTCGTCAAGTTGGGTCCGGCGACAACAGACGCGAACACACACGAAATGAGTCTTTAGAGATTAACACGTTCGCACGAAGGGTGAATTTTAATTTTCTCCAGCCCTTTTTCACAAAAAAGGGAATATTATAAAAAACTTTTACCACGGTCGAAATGATTCACAAAATCTTTTTCTAAAATAATCCAGAGTCATCTGTTTTTCTCCAATTTTGTTATTCCAGTTCCACTGGAACGCGTCGTCGTTTGTTCTTTATAACGCACTCGCGTAACGAATCCAGGATCCCCTCCCCCCAAAATATATATTTATAAATGAATTTTTTTTTGATGACGTCATATTAAACGGGGTTAAACGTGATTGAATTCGGAGGGGAGGGGGAAACAAAATGGATGACGCGCGTTACTTTTTACGCTACAATTAATTATTATTATTATTATTAATTTAAATGGACGTACGAAACGTTATAAAGGTTACGCGCGCGTGCGTAATTAAGTCTAACGTTAATATTTATTATTAAAAAAAAAATTGAACGTGGCAGAAGAAAGATTAAATTAATTCGATTGAAATTTTCACGTTTTTTTTTTTGTTATTACGTGTAATTGAACAAATTTGGGAAATGTGGAAAAGTGCGTGGAAGAAGAAAGGAAAAGGAAAAGGGTTGAAATTTTACCGCGTTAAAAAAGGCGGTGGTGGCGGGTCGGTAGTAGTTGAAAACGAAAATCCTTTTGATGTGTGCGTATGTACGCGTTTACCACACCCCCACCCCCACCCCCTTTTACCCCCCGACGTTTTGAAAAACTTAATTTCCGTGATGATGATGTTTTTCTTTGAAGGTGAAAGAATTGATAAAGGGTAAAAAGGGAAATTACGGGAAAAGACTCGACAAAATAAAAAAACTAAACTCCGGGAAAGAAAGAAAAGAGAGAGAGAAAGATAAAAGGTTTTCTTATCTTTTCATCTCTCTCTCTCTCTGTTTTCCCGAGTGTTATTATTTATAATAAAATCCGCGGCGTGCGTTTTTATTTTCCCCTTTTATATATATATATATATATTCGCTTTGAATGTAATTGGACCGCAACCGCCACCGCCAACTCCGCCGCCATTTTGAATTAGAATATATCATTTCGTAATTTAATTTTTGTAATTTTTTTTTTTTTTTTGCAGTGTTGGGAAAATTGCGAATTGCTACAAGCCAATTTTCACATTTGGGGTTCGATATGCAAAGCTGAAATTTGCGTAAGTTTAACATTATTTAATCATCAAAATTTAATTAATTTAATTTGTTCATAGAGTAAATAAACGCGAAGGCGCGTAGAAAAAAAAGAAAGAAAAATGTCGGAAACGCTTTTATTTACTCTATTATCATCATCATCATCATCATCATCATGGTCATAGTCATCGTCATTATTAATTATAAGAAAATTCGTGTGACGTCATTTACTGACCGTTAAATTTTTTTTTTTTTTTTGAATTTTGGCGCGCGCAAAAAAAAAAACGGAAATTCGAAATTGAAATAAAATGAAAAATTTTGTGTCCGGTTTATCGTGACGCGACAGGAATGATGATGATAATGATGATGATAATGATGACGATGATAAGAATAATAATGATAAATTACACCCGTTCGTAAATGTTCTTTCATTCGAGATTTCTTTCTAAGAAGAAAAAAAAAAAAATTTTTTCGGGGCGAATTCCAAATTTACACTTTTCCCCTTCCCCCTCCGCTGTTGATTACGTTGATTTGGCCCCCCGTCTCCCCCCAAAAAAATCACAGATAAGAAGGAAACTTTTTTTTTTTTTAGTACCAGAACCTCGTTAATTTTTTTTTTTTTTTTTGTAATGATTTAAACGACATCAATCATTACAATTTTTTTCTCCCCCCCTCCCCATCTCTCTCTCTGTCTTTTTCCGGCAGAATAGAAAGGATGACTGAACGGATAACGTTTCGCTTCATGTTTTTCTTTTCATTCGTTACATACAAAATGTGTGGAAAATTAAAAAAAAGAAATTCATAGCTTTAAGCATTTCCTTTTTATTCTCCGGTTATCATCTAACTATTAATGCATAGACAGAGAGAGAGAGAGAGAGAAAACATTTGCGATAACCAGTTAATGGGTTTTTCTTTCTCTTTATCGAAAAGAGAGTGAGTGAGAGAGAGAATAAGCGTATAATAATGAAATGGCACGACCGAGATACGGCAAACTCATTTCCTATATACTCTTTCGAAAGAGAGAGAGAGAGAGAGGGAAGAGAGGAAGAAACCTCTTGTTCTCTTTTTTTTTTTTTTTTTTCCTTCTTCCTTCTTCTTTCTTTTTCCTCTTTGAAAAGAATAAAGAGAAAGGAAAAGAACATTATTATAACGTTGTTGTTGTTGTTGTTACCACCGCTTCTCACCACCGCCACCGCCATCTTTAAACGCTCCGAGAAAAATTTAACAAAAAGATATATATATATATATAATTGATCGCGATAAAGGGTTTTCCGGTTCTTTAGGGCATTATTTTCTAGATAGTTGAAAATGAGTAAGGGGAAAAATTGTTTTCTTTTTCTATATAACAAACCGACGAACCGACAAACCGACGATTTCGTTGTAATAAATTTCGAATCATTGAAGGCTGTGTAATGAGTTTTTAAATGAATTTTCCAACCCTTAATAAAAAAAAGAAAAACTTTCTCCCTTAATAAAATATTTTTATTTTTTATTTTTTTCAAGAGAGTTAATTTAATTCAATCATTCATTCATTCGTTTTTTTAATCTCTTTTTACAGTATCCGGGGTGTCAAGAGGCTTGTAAATTTCACAGGGATAGCAGCAGTCAGGAAAAACAATCGGAACCCGTGATAAAAGCACGGGGAGAAGAAGTATTGAAAATTGAAAGCGACGTTGCCAAATGGCCGAGACCCACCACCGTTCCCCCGCAATCGTCTCTCGTCTACGTGGTCATGAGAAAAAATCCAGATTCGAGTTGGACTCAGATAATACAAACGGGTGATCGTTCCGTGTCGTTGCCATCGGACACGATCGCATCCAACATACGAGTTCTCGTCGTGGATCCCGAGGGACTCGTCACGATGTACAGTCCGCCGATTTCGATACACGAAAAATTAAACGACAGCATAGTGAGTCGAATAATGGCGGGAGTTCAAAGCGACAGGAAAAAAGCGGAAAGGATAAGCATAAACACGCCGAAATCGAACACGTGGGAATTGAAAGAGGTTTCTCTGATACATCAAAAAGTTCTCGTACTCGCCGAAGTGTCGTGGGAACCGAGGTTCGGACACTCCGTTTATTTGGTCACGTGGGAAGTCGACGGGGGAGGATTGAAGGGAAATCTATTCACGGATTCGACGTGCGTGACTCTCTCCCTATGGCCCGATACCATATATCACATACAAGTGGAAGTCGTGTCGAAAACGGATAAAAGCGTACCCCTAGTTTTGGACACGCACAAAGCGACGCAAGTGTCGTTCGACATATCGCAAACGTCATCGCAAAATCCTCCAATCAACGCGTTCAACAACGAATATAGTAAAAATCAAAAGAAGAAAATTCTGTCGGACGTGACAAAGTATCAGTTGAAATCGAAATCGTCGCTGTCGTCGTCATCGTCGTCGTCGGATGAGGAAATAACGAATCGTCAAAATTCGGATAAGATCGTGAGTCATAATAATCCCTCGGTCAAGAGAAAGATATTCTCGAACGAGAAAACGAAAAAAGACGTGTCACTAGAAGAACAATACGACACGCCGAAATCGAATTTAAAATCAACGGCAAAAATAACGGGTTCCCTGTCGTCGGTTCTCGTTAAATCCTCGGTTGATGCGGAACCGGAAATGATTGACACGCGACAGAGAACTGAACTCGCGTTCGGGTCAGCCGCCGCCATTTTTTTATTTCTAATCATTTGCGGTCTTTTGGCGCACAAAACGAAAAAAAGGAGAAAAAATTCGAACGTGGCGGCCGTGACGGGAGCGGGAGCGGGAGCTGGCGCGGGAGCGGCGAAACGTTCGCACGGTTCGGATTTTGAAAATTTTTACGATAAAAATTCCTCGTCCGTCAAAAAAATAGTTTCGGATTTTAATTTTTCACCCAATTTAGTTTTAGTCACGACTTGTGATGAAAATTCTGTCGTACCGGAAACGACGACGACGACGACGATGACGTCGACGACGCAACAATCGTCGCGTAATAAAATAACCAAAGATGATGATGATGAATATCGAGAAGAATCGTCGTGGAAGAAAAATTTACCCGCGTTGACGACGTCGCGTCGCGATAAAACAATTAAAAACATTATTAATAATAATAATAATAATAATTTATATCAAAATAACGAAAATGATATGGACGATGAGAATTCGTTGAAAAATATACTCGTGGTTGCAGAAAGAGAAACGGAAGTTGACGTGTGACGAAAACCTCATTTTCGACCTCATGATGATGATATTTATTAGAAAAAATTATTATTATTATTTTCCCCTCCCCCGGTTTTAAAAATAACCGGAAACTAAAATCGTCACTCCGTGACGTCAAAAAAAAATCTTTCAATTATCATTATTATTATTATTATTATTATTATTATTAACTTAAAACTAATAGGAAAATTATAATAAGAAAAAAACAAAATGGCGGATATAAAATGTAAAACGTATGATGGTTGTTTTAATCATTTATTTATTTATTTATTTTTTTAAATCGATTATTTATTGATTTTCGCGGGGCGGGGAGGCGGGACGGGGACGAAGTATACGAGGGGGGAGGGAAGAAGAGAGGGGAAAGAGATATGAAGGCGGAAAAGAAATAATAAATTATTTTGTAGTAGAAGAATAAGAAGAAGAAACGAAAATAGAGAAGGAAAGGAGATGAGAGAGAGAGAGAGAAAAAAGAAACGTGGGAGGAGAAAGAAAAAATTTTAAATTTCCCGCCAAATTTTTTTTTTTTTTTTTTTGACTACCTACCACGACCACGTTTGTAATTTTGTATTTAATGAGACTGATTTATTATTATTATTATTATTATTATTATTATTATTATTATTATTATTATTATTATTATTATAGAATATTTCGTTTGTTCAAAAGGAAATGTAAACATTGTAAATGATAATAAAATATATATATATATATATATACATTGTTAGCTTTCGATGATGATGATGATGATGATGAT